TACAATTTATTACGCTCTGCAACTTAATGCATCGAGCACTCTACCGACAGTATAGACTCAAGCATCCGGACTTATATATATATATATATATATATATGTATAAATGAATAACGAATGCGTTACTTTGTAAATCGCTGCGTTAGTAAATTTTATAAAATACTGTATTTTAGTTTTTAAAAGTAAGTGCAATTAATAATCAAGTGATTTTGCTGTATCTATATAGTACGAGCTCGTAAATTAGCTTTGCTCAACCTAGACGCGTTTCTAAGCAGTATTATTGAAGCGTTCGTATTGGTTGTTTCTCACCGTGGACCCATGTTATTGAAATTACAGATTAGTCGGTAATTTAACGGTGCTCATCATCATTACAAAGATGTAACAATCTTGCATCGGAATAAATTGGGAAGCATCGTGTCGATCTTGACATGTATACATCGCATGTTTTCTAGAAAACACGAATACACGCGATCAACCCTGCAGTCCTGACGCTAAGATAACCGAGTTTACGGAAGATAATACAATGAACTCATGTTTACTGAATGCTCAACATTGTCAGTCTGTATACATGGGTTTAGGGTACAACTTTGTTGAAGTTTGATTACTGTTTGTTGAGGAAAGCCAATGGCATGCACTAAGTTGCATGCACGCTAGATACGATATGATAGTATACATTGTTCATGCACAGTTATTAGGACATGGAGACCGATGGAGACTTGGCAATCGTTACTATAGCTGGGATTACATTGGCTCTTCCCCTGTAGCCTTTCGTTCCCGCTCTTGTAGTAAGCGCGAAAAGCTACACGGGTAGAGCTAGAATTGTATTATTTGCAAACAGATCTGAAAATAGAATCAGGGCTATAGGAACCTGGGATCCATTGTCAAAAAACAGTTCATCATAACAGACATCACAAGTATATAATATCATAACTTTCAAAATGTAGTGCTGTGCAGTTATGAATTTTTAGAGTTATGATGGGCATAACTATTTAATACACGGGCCCCAGAGCTGCATGATAGCATAGACTAACAATACTTTATAGATATTGTTACTCTATGATGACACCGAACTCCAGTACTATAGCTCTTATGGCTCTGCAACGTGATGCTCTGTGACAAAGCCAGCGAGAGGAATAATACTATAGCTACATGACACCATGCATGTCGCGGTTTCTTGATACTGTTTGATGAACGAAGTTAAGTGCTGAACTTCCGTGTTCAACGTATGTGAAGCTCGTGGTTTGAACATGCGTGTATGTTTCAGAGGGTATTACTGTCGCCCAGAGATCAGGTTGATGTGGTTAGAAGTGTGACCTGCTCAGGGTACGCTGACTACATAGATTGTCTGTCTTTCTTCATCGCATCTCAAATGTCATGCTTTAATTGAAATTGAAGAACCTGGACACGTGTAAGCTGATTCACCGGCACTTGTAATTATATGAATAAAGAGATGCATGTTAAATTCACGTTAGCAAGCTAAGCGCACTAGAAAAAAACTTTGTTGGAGACAGTGCCAAGCTTCCAGCATGGGATTTTTCTAACAAGATATCTTTTCCAAACCCAAACACTTTCTGCAATTTTAATTTTGTACTGTATAAAAATTATTAACATGCAAAAAATAAAACAAGTAATTTCTGTGTAGATATTCGCAAATTGTGACTAGCATTTTTTAATTAGAAAAAAACAACAATAGCATACAGCCACATACGCATCTGCGTATGTACCTGAACAGCTTTGCTGAACAGTAACAAACACATATTATGTTGATACATTATTAAAAAATCGTTTTGTAATTAAATATATTGATTACTTTAAATAGCACCCATGCCATAATTTCTAATGAATTCTGTTCTGTCAATCAATCACTTTGAGGTACTCAAATCTAATTGATAAACTACACATATATATACCAGAACAAATACTCATAACATACAATACACATAACTGTATACAGTTCTAAACACAAAATAACCCGGCCTCTAGCTACATCTCACATCACAGTAAAACAGATACGTGACAACTAGCTTTTCCATGGAAACTATTAACAGTCTCGATGTGTTGCTTTTAAAAAGAAATTGGAGTCACTTGGATAATTGGATTCAAAATGTTAAAAATATTATGTCTATTATTGAGGAGGTCAAAAGCTAAATTAAGCATAAACGTTACCATAATTCACTTTTACCACACCAATTAACCATCTTACTACCTACCTATTCAGTTAAGAACTTGCTCATCGACTCATTATTCATCGACACACTATGGAGAAGTATGTAATAGAGGAAAGCCATAAAATTATCACTCATTAAAAAAATCACATTTGATCCACTCCTGATATTTGCCACCAAAACGGGGAAGTACGTAGGCACGCGTTGAAAATTCTACACCTGCATTATTTTCCTAAAAATATATTTGGGTGTAAAAAGAACTGTCCCAGCTCATACAGAACTGGCTGCTATTCCGACCTTAGGTACTATCCCCAACTAAAGGATCGAAATCTGAAAACGTTCCGTTAAATGGTGTCGATCCATATCTTCGATTAATAGTCTTTATTAATACGATATGAATTCTTTGTGAGAGAATTCTTTGACCTAAAGTGCCACAGCTAATGTGTATAGTAAGGCTTTGTACTTGGCAGTCTTCGTAAACCGGTATGAATTTCACACAAAGTTAATTGAATCTCAAAACTTGATTATGGCAAGCACAACAAGCACTACTTACACCGGAGGTATAAAGTTGACAGATTTGAAGAGCCAATCGAGGTTTATATTTAAATCTTCAAAGACACAGCAGATCTCCATAGTTTCCCATTAAAAAAATAACTCGACAATAACCGCAAATGTTAAGTCAAGGTCGGACTTCTAATTTAAGGTAAGTGGCCATCGTTGTTTATCTATCCGAAGTAACATCAGTCATGTAGAACAAGGCTGGTATAGCCGCGTTCACACGTAGCAATAAATCCGGTATTTAGCGTTAGTTACACACGAGGCAAAATGCGCGGTCCAAGAAATACGGTATCTAAACAGATCCGGTATTTGATGTAAATACGTGGCTTCCCAGACCCCGAATAATTTGCCGTGCTTGAGAAATACCGGATCTCTTGGACCGCGCATTTCCTCGTGTGAACGCTAAATACCGGATTTCTGAAGCCGCGTATTTTATAGACTGGTCTGCGCTCGACAGTTCCAGTGAAACGCGAATGGAACTGTCGAGCGCGGACCAGTCTACGTATTTTATCGGCAGTTAGTGCGCATTGCATTGTTTATTTCGCATTGTTCGCTTGATTGTTTAAAGCAGCTCGCAGCTCGCAGCTCGCAAATACCGTATTTCTGGAGCCGCGAATCAGCATGTGAACGCTCGGCCGCGTATTTGTCTCAGATTCGGTAATTCGCAAATACCGTATTTCATAAATACGAGGTCTCGTGTGAACAAGGCTTATATAAAAACGTCCACAACAAAAATTTACACTTCAGTTTTCATGTTGATATGAGAGCATTGCAGTGAAAAAGATACATGGGGGCTTAGGGCGATTTAGCCCCCGAAATGCCAAAAAGAGCCCCCGTAAATTTGCATAGAGTTCAAGGCAAACCAAATTTTAGAGTGCTATTTTCATGCACACGAGCTTGAAAAGTAGCCCCCGAAAAATAAATTATATTTTTTTCCCTGGAGCATTGGATAATCATCACTCGTTGCATAAACCAAGTTACTACGTCAACATGAGATACCTGTTAAATAAGTTCTCTATAGGTTCTCAGTTTCATCGCTGGACTTTGCTGCTGCCAGGTCCTCATCATTACGGGCTACATCATCCATGCTTGGCTTCCTGGAATTTATATTGAGAGTAATTATTCAATTAGCCTACATAGGCTTATCAAGAAGACAGGAAAAATAGGGGATTAGGGAACAAGGACCAGGGCAACCCAAGCTTTGCATGTCCAAAATCGTTAGGAGGACATATTGATTAGACTAACATCTGGCAAGAGGCTATATAGCTTGAAAAAGAGCATTCTGAAACAAGTCTATTTTGTTCTTGCTGCTACGGTGCTAGTTTTCTTATTCTTGAATTACTAAGAGACCATTTAGTTGTGTAGATAGCATAAATAGCTAGATTGATACTATGACCAGTGTTCAAACAGTGACGTCACAGACGGAAATTGGCCCATGCATATCACGTGACACCATGCTGAATCATTATACCATTGATAAACATCATTTACAAGATCATCCCACTGTGCACTTCAGAGATAGCATGCTGAACCACCTACTTGTTAAACGTGTTACTGGTCATTTTTATACCTCCACGAGAGCTTGCCCTGATTCATGAAAATTTTCGATCAAATCGGGTCAAAGGACATCAGAAGTCTGACGGACTTCACTTACCTCCGTGCGCAGCAGAAACAGAATGGCTGGTTCTTCCCAAACTCCTCAGCCTCCTCTACAGTCTCCGGCAGCTTCTGATTAAGGGTTTCAGGCAGTGCCATAGCTAACACACTTGCTACCAGTGTTACCGTGCCCATGATAAACGCGGGTAGGTCCCGGTACTGGTAACCCTGAAAGCGATCCAGCAATCATTATTAATTATTATTAAGACAGGAGACTTTCTATGTTTGTAGTAAAGGGATAAACTGCCTGTCATGCTAGCTAACAGGACCATACTGGAAAAATCAGGCAAAGTAGTTTTGCTACGTGCTTAGCTGTGTATCGTAATTGTAAATATATTCAGTAAACATATAGAATTACTTAGCATTGAAAACGTGCCACTTGCTAGTTATAACACTTAAAGCAGTACCTGTCTTTATAAAACATTTGGTATTTCAGCCAAACTTGCCCAAATTTAAGAACTTAATTATTCTTATTTTTACAAACATGCATTCTTGACTACACAGAAACAACTCTAGATGAAAATCATGAATGTTTGGCAAAAGTCAAAGTGAAAAGCCTATACTGCAGTACGCAAACATACACTTACGTTTAACCTGATTGCCCGATGTCTCAAAAACTTGACTCCCATACAGTGTATAATTACAGTAATATGTAATTTTATATAAATTATTTCTTTACACAGATATCTGTCCGTTTCACATGATTAAAAAAAAAGGTGCAATATTACCAGCAATTTTCTTCACGTCTCTATCTTTTGCAACAACTAGTGCAGAAGAAATACTTGTGCTCAAGGACACAGGTTTAGTGATTTCCTAGAGAAGTTACTACAAGTATGCGTGCGATACAAAAGCACCCAAAGCTGAATAAAAGCCATGGTCATGCACTGTGCCATCGAGAAGCTGCTTAAACCTTGCACAAGTAATTCACAAACATCCCCCGTTGATGTCCCAATTATAAGGAATAAGACTGGAAAGTCTCCACCAAATATTGCATATCAAATGTTGTCTACCAAAGACCCTATATACCTATATAGGGTCTTTGTATCTACCGATGTAACGTATATTGTAGCTGCCACAGTATTAGCAACAGTAAGCAGGAATTTGTTTAATGAGACGTTGCTAGCAGCCGTATGAGAATTAACAGAAGCACGTGGACAAGAGAAAGACACCACGAATAACATGTAGAGAACCCCAAGTAGTAAAATGACCAAAAAGGTCAGCAGTAGAGGTAACACCAGACACGACCATGTCAACTCAATAACAGCTCATCAATCGTAGTGGTGCTGCCGATATACCGCCCTTTACACATCATCGTGCAATAGCTGGAAAACATATTGAGAACAAGATCTAGTGATAGCGTGATTTTAACAAGAGCTGTTATCAGGTAGTCGTGTCTGGTACCTACTGCACAACTGAGACATCATTCCCCATTAACGACCATACGTTACCAGGTAGACGACAAAGGGTATGAAAATGAGACCGACTGAGCCACAAAATTGGCTAAAGCCCAGTCCCAGACCGCGAACCACTGTCGGGTAGAGTTCGGCCGCGAGTGGGTAAATGACGACGAACGACGTGGAAATACCAAATTTGCCAGTCAGCGACAGCGTTATGCTCAACCACGACCATTCTGAACCTGCAAGCAAGCAAGCATGCAGGAGCAAAGAATCTGCAAAAGACCCCACCGGGTCGAGACGTCACCGCGTCAGATGTCCGTTTCACGTTTCGCATCCTCGACCGCGCACGTTTTCGGTCGCGGCAGTACGCAATCCCGTAGGGCCGACCGACTGAACGGACACCCGATTCGACACGTCTCACATGCAGCATCGCGGAGCGTAAGAACGATGCACGGGCAAGCACCCCCCCACCCCATCAACACTGCAAGGCACACACCACTGTCGCTCCACCCGACGCGAATTCGCTTCGCACGTTCACGGCCGGGGGCTGGGACTTCCACGCCATGCGCGACCCTTCAAAAGCCCATCCTACGTGGCCAGAAGCGACGAGACTCAACAATAGGGAACAGCTTTCAATGCGCGTGCATGCTGCAATTTCACCAGCAACAAGCGATCGAACATGGTACTGGTTGGCAATTGTTGCCAACAATATAAATCAAACCAATCGCAAGCGAGCTCGCGGCAACAGGGACGGCTGGATCCGAACGCAACTAGAAGCTTCCATTCGCGAGAAAGCAGAACAACTCGTGGCAACAAGAATTTTTCAGTTACCATCGATCGCAGTTGCACTTAAAACCGGTAACATCTGGCATCCGAGTACGCTCTCGGATTCGCTGCTGCGCATGCTCCCCCGTTACTCTCGGCCGCTTCCAGTCGTAGGCAAACGCACTCTAGGCTCAGTCGCTCTCATCGCGCTACCGCCGCCAGCCGCCCGGCAGTGTGCACGTGAAGCGAGGCTGGGGCAGGGGCGGGGCAGGGGCGGGGCATGGGCAGGACGGGGCCGTACCAGGTAGACGATGAACGGCGTCGCAACGCCGCCCACGCTGCCCACCAGCTCACTGAAGCCGATGCCGATGCCGCGCAGCACCGTCGGGAAGATCTCGCCCGAGAACAGATACATGAGCGTGAACGACGTGCCCGCGCCAAACTTGCCGACCAGCGCGAGGATTATCGTCGGCTCGAGGTAACCTGCGTGGGGGAGGAACGCGTGTAGCACGGTCGCACTACGTAAAACACACACGTCGTCGTCCACACTAGGCATGGCAATACGGTCGGATATAGTCTATTGGTATATGTGGGATACAATCTGTGGATTTAGCATTTGGAAATAATATATATGTTATATAGTCATGGATATAGTACATAGGCATTGGATATGGAATTGTTTCTATATATAACATGTACGATATATTCTCTGGATATATAGGATTAGAGCTTTTGGATATATGATGATTTTCAGACACAATATATAAAATAACCTCTTTGAAAATATAGGATATAGTTGTTCGTACAATGAATCGCATGTATTCTTTTATATTTTACGATGACCAAATTATTTATGACCTTCAATTATTTTGTAACCATCGCTACTGTCTCTAAGGACATCCGACAATGTTTGGAGACAAAGTAACATAATTTTTTATTAGTGCAGCATACCTGAAGGAACTAGCACAGTAGCAATGCAGGCAACTCCTCCCAACATCATTGATATGCACAGCGGCCATCGTCTGCCCCACCTGCCAAGCAGCAAATAAATGATAACTCCCTACAAGACAAATAGTCACAACAATTCATGAAAATAGGTTCCTCAGATAGCACACCTAGTTTCTTAAACAGAGTAAAAAAGAAGCACTCAATAGCAAGATGGTTACAATACATTACCCAAATTGGTTCAAGAAATTGTGCACCATTGCACATTGATTATAATTCTCTGGCTAATTACTTGATGAGCACATGAAGTTTACAATTGGGTTATGATTTCTCACCTGTCTATTACACAGAATAGGATGGGATAAGACAGAAGTTCTACAGCAGACGACAATGCAAAGTTAACGTAGTCCGACTCTCCTAGGATTGGAATGTAGATGCTCAGACCCACATAGACTATCACATTTACTAGCCTGCAATCATGTAAAAATGAATAATACAAACGAATTACTTTCCAAAAAGAAAGTTTTTCCTTCTATAAAAATATGGTCATTTAAACTGAACTCTTTGTCAAAACATACAAATCAAAAACAATATTACAAAAACGAGATACTATTATAATATAACATGAGTGAATAAAAACAAATTTAACAAATGTATGCAATCTTAAATATATATTAGTAATAATAAACTAGCAAAAGCTCAGTAAAGTCAATATCCTTAGTACACTGGCAATTACTTGCAAATCAATTCTTACGATGTTAATATGGAAAGATATCACAAAAACACACCATATGAAAGACACAAGAACAGTCTTCTTGCGCAGGTTCGGTGTGCGGAAGAGATCGAGCAATGTGTAAGTTCTCGCCTTGCCAGGCAGCAATTGTCCCAGCTCCCCTTTCTCCTGCTCCTTCTGTATGTAAATGACAAAAAGCGAGATGGTTACAAATTGTAACAATGGCCATGCTGAACCGATTATGCGACGACCCGTATGAAACTGTGTCACATATCTCAGCAGCAGTTTGTACAAGTTAACTCAAATCACTAAACCATGCAAACACTAGTATGTGTGCTCGGGCTTGGTTATGAAATGGTTTCAATAAATTTTATTAACATTACTTTAGACTGCTTGAGAAAGTTGTCTAGACGATCTGCAGCCCGGATATCCGCGCGAAGCGCGCCAACGCCGCCTCGCGGCGACACAATGACTTATTCGCTGCCCTCTATTTAGAAACATCTACCCGAGGCCCTCTGGGTACTACAGAAAGCCGCATAATCGGTCAATTGAGGAGTTGTGGCGATTGCAGAAGCCCCTTCTTCGGGGGGAAACTTTGCACGTAGGGCGAGAATAAATCAATGCATCGTTTGTGCTTGGGTGTGGCTCGGCGCGCGTCCGTTTCGCTGTCAGAAAAATAAATTTTCCCTTTTCGGCTGGTTCATGGCCCTGACAGTAATTTGGAAGTTATCGCGCAGCCCATAGAGTGGCGCAACGAGTCCATCTACGTACCATGGTCAAGTATTTTAAAAAAACCTCGGCTCGAGGCACTAGACGGCCCGCGCGGGGCACAGTCGACACGTAGCGTAACTCACTTCAGTATAGCCAACGATAGGTGGCTGACGTGAAGGTCGGTAGCAGTCTAGCCCTGCACTCGCACGGGCCCGTATCCAGCTTGACGCACAAGTGGTGATGTTCTAATGTTGCCATTATGATGATCACGTGATAGTTAGAGGATATAGTCGTGGCGTCAAGCCCGTGGCGTGGCCGTCGTGCGCGGAAGTTCTTCAGTCTCGGGTTATGTCGCGGGACACAGCGCGGTTAGCGAACAAGACATTATGTCTTTCATAAGAAGTCAACCTGTCTTCAATAGGAACAAAGATCGAGGCTCGTTGAATGGTAGTGTGTTTGTGAAGTCGTTTGAGAGCGCTCACGTACAGCATTATTGTGATATAGGACATCGGCGCAGCGTGCTGCTTATAGCAAAACTTCGTCGACCCCTGACGGTCGAGGGGGCCCTGATTGCTCCTTGCGCAGAAAAACTTCGCGCAGAGAACTTGGAACTCGCTTGCTCGCAGCTGTACCTGACGGGGCCAACCCCGATAGATACAGCTGGCAGCTCAGCCATAGCTCCCTACACCACACAACTCAATACACCCTAGTATTCTAACCCTTAGCAAGACCGTTTTTGGAGCCTAGTCGAATTATGAGCTATGCAAGTTGCAGCCCTTGATCTTGCGGCAGACTTGGCAGTCATACACTGAGTATGTACAGTCTTGTCGGGTTATGTACATGACCGATCATACATTAGTGACGGGAAGTTGATACTGGCAAGGGTTGTTAGTGTCGGCACTTGCGGATATATGAGCCATAGACTGATATAGCTAAGGTTAGTAACTAGAGTAAGTTACTGGGACGTAAAAGGACCCACTAGTGAGAAACGAATGTCATATGGGCTCATGTAATACAGAAATGAAGTAAACCCTAGGCGAGTGGTCCAGGAGATTGATATACAGGTTATTTTTTACGGCTATAGCTAGAGGTCCTAAAAGATAATATGCGGGTATTGCGATGATGATGTGTTTGAGTGCGGTTTATGGCATGTATTGCGACGGTGTTCTCGGCTGAGCCGTAGTCACTCGATGGTAATCGAGGTCGGGAGCGAGGTCCCAGTCTATAGGACGGATGAGATTCTTTCCGCGATCCGCAGAAAATCGCGGATTTGCAGCCAGCGGGGTCGGATTTGATGAAACGTCTTAAATCGTTTGGAGAAAATGTGGAGGGGGACAATGTAACGCAATATAAACTTAGATACCTCAACAGCACCGGACTGTGATGTAGAGTGTAGACAGTAGGCTGACAGCCCCGAAGTATACAGTGTATCTGTTTTTGCGTACCAGAAAAGAAAATCCTCGGTCACCAGGCTGCCAGTAGAGGGGCAAACATTTGAGGTAGCTGAGCACGTAACGACGAGGCTGGCCTGGGGGCCGCGGTTTACATGTTGCTGCGTGCATGTGACTGGGCAGGACTATGCACTGATGTTCATTGCAGTGTGTTGTTTGCATGCAAAATCTGGGCGCAGCAAGGCAGCTTAGGGCTGAGTAACAACAATGCAAGCGACGGGTGGAAACAGAAAAATATCATTATGTCTAGACATTTAATAAAAAAATTTCAGCCCCCTGATTTGCTATTATAGTTCGTTTGTTCCTTTTGACAACTTGAAAAGGTGATTCAAGAGTCTCCTATAATTTGTTCAGAATAGCTTAGAATGCACCAAATTGCACCATTCTTTTAAAAAAATTACCTACGGTCCTCGCATTGCTCGCTCCTCTGTTTGCTAATTAAAATGTCAGCTGAAAATTAAATTATCTAATCTCATCCCTGTATATAGCCTTTGTCCTTGCAGCCATTTCCATTACTGGGCAAGGTTCGCGAACGCGAGAATTTCGTCAGTCTTTCTGTGATTTCGCGTCACACAGCTCGGTTACCAAGAGAGAAATTATGTTTTTATAACAAGTGAACACTGTTCACGTCCCAAATGTCTACCCTCTGTGTCCCCCACTGAAATTGCGGACTGTTCGCTGGCAGCTATGGATCCGTGCGCCGGCCAATTCATTCGGCACACGGATCCATAGCTGCCAGCGCTGCATACTGTTGTAGGACATTCCCGCGGTCGCGTGCGCCTTGCCGCGGAACTGCGCGCAAGATCTGCGCTTATAGCACTTGGGATCAACACCTCCTTTCGGCAACGCTTCTCTAGTATCCCGTCTCATCTGGTTGTTCTCTCAAGATGTGAGAAGGTTACTAAATAGGCAAATCAATTTTCTCTCACACTCACGGAAAAAGGGGTTTCTTATATACTAGAAAAAATAGGAAAGCCATCGCTCTTAAAATTTGTTTTGTAAGTAAAATATTGTTGATTTATAATGTCCATCCATTTAATGATATTTCTTGCAAGCATTGCCTACAATACATGTGAAGAAGTAAATAAATAAAACATAAAACTGATTTATAATATTTTTTACCGAATTTGTCATGATACGGTAAGGAGACAAATTTGTATTAGTGCAGCCTTAGTTCGTAGTCCGATACTATAGCTATACAATAGTATATTAATAGCAAGCATCTACAGCATGATGCCAGAATATCTCCACACTATCAAATTCGTGTGAAATACGTACCATGAGTTTGCGGATGAGTTCGGGTGGCACAGTCATACCATTGACCTTCGCTGCTTTCTGTACGATAGCTTCAGCTTCATCTATCCTGTTCTTGGAGAGTAACCATCTAGCTGACTCTGGCAAAAACCTGTGTCAAAAATTTATGACCTTGACCTCTAAACTATCAAACACCGCATGAAACTAAGAGGTACACAGAATAGTGTTATTATTTTGCCACCAAAATATCATCATTCCAATATTTAAACTGAAATATTGTCTATTATATGAACTATACACAGCCAGTTGTTAATGCCTACACATGCTGATATATTATACATCTCTTAGTGACATGACTACCGTACTCAACTAACAAAAATCGTACAGAAGTTCCCTTTTACAGCTGAAAATCTTCCGACATCAGGTTTCATTTCTATTATCAACTAAACAATGTAGCTCAATAAATCTTTCATGCCTCTGTGGCAGCTTCAACTAGTCGCACTCACCACCAGTAGCCATACATCAGTATAAAGGGAATGCTGGTAGCTAGGGCCAGGTTGCGCCAGTCCCTGACAAGGTAGGCAACGCCAGCGAGAACGAGCAAGCCCGACGAGTAGGAGACGCACTGCATGATGGTGGTGAAGCCGCGTCTCTCCGGCCCCACCAGCTCTATGCCTGCAAACATACAAACACACATGTGCAGTTGGTATGTGTGAGCCCATATATATAAGCATCGTGATAAAAACGTTTGCCATGAGCGTACAGGTGACGAGAAAATAATAGCCCTTACTATTTACTCTTGATACGTATATATGTAACAGTACGTGCGTGTTTGTGCATGCGTGCGTGCGTGCGTGCATGCATGCGTGTGTGTGTGCACGCTTGCGTGCATTTGTAGTAATATATACACTGCAAACATGTATATAAGCAACATGTATATAATATTGCAACTATACAGCATAACGTTTGTCTAAAACCCCAACAGGAATAGCTTGCGACCTCTTCCACCACCCCCTTTACAGAATTTAAACACAATGGATTCTATTTTTGGCACTAAGCACCACATGGAAGTCTTATATTAGGTGTTCAGCTGGCTAACCAAAGAAGAAGATAACATCAGTCTAGTCTTACATATTATATTACATATATAGTTATATATATGTATATATGTGGTTTCATAAAGTAAACTATGAGAACAATAACTGCCAGCCAAAATAAACAGTTTTAAGAATGATCTAGAATAGGCATCTAGAATATCCTACATAGCCTAAATTAAATCAATGCGATCAAACGTGGTGTGGTTCAACATCTCCAATAGGACATACTTCTCACTTTATGCGACCACGAACATATCTATACAGATACTGTTTCCACAGACCTTACCTATAACAAATGGGATGACGAATATCTGGGGAACGGTCAGTCCAACCATGAAGCGGAACACTGTATAGGAGATGAGCTCAGGTGCAAACGCTGTCGCAATGCCAAACACCGTTTCAACCGTGAGACAAATGAAGAAAGCCTTCTTTCTTCCCAACCTAGGAAAGATACCCACATGACATCAATAGTAAAGTGGAAAGGCCCTCAACCGACTGCAGGTTAGGACGTCACTGCAAAATTTTTAATGTAGGGCACTTAGAAAGAGGGGGCACAATTTTTTTATTCAGTTTTTTTCCAGCAGTGTCTATGCAGCTAAAAAACTGAAGAGCACATTGAAATCAGGATGTTCCTGGCACAGTTTTTGATGGTTGATACCACATAACAAGGGCTGAGAGTGTACACAGCCAGTGCAACATTTTTTGAAACAGTGGTCCTTGTCTGCTCATACGGCTAAAGTCCCATGCTGATAAACATCAAGCCAACTAGATTGCTTTGACAGAGTGCAATGACAGTGCTACACTATTTTCATAAACTGATACGAACCAGTCCTGTAGAAAACCAAAAATGAAGTTTCCACAGAGGTTACCAAACGAGTAGACGGTGTAGGTCATCATGCCAATCCAGTTTTTGTCACACACCAGGTCCATCTGAATAGGAACGAAATAGGATCTGAATAGGCGAATGGGTGGTTAAGTTAGCACTGCTGTGTTTATATTGTTGTCAGGAGATCTCCTGTGTTTAGCAATGACAATGAATATACTAAAAGCGCAGTCTTAGACATCATAATTAAACCTCAGGGCTCACAAGCCTCACGCATATGGTGCGAGACTCACGCCATTCAGCACAATCTGACGCTCTCACGCACATTCCTGATAGTCCCCAAAAATCTCACGCAATTGCAAGAATCCAGTTTTTCTTCGTTGCCTGGAGTGGGTCTAGCCGAACTTTTCCACTAAAATTCTTCCTGTCATCCATTTTTATATTTTTAATACTGCTACAATCACTATGATTTTTGTACATTGTATGTTTTTTCATGCTTATATAAGCAACAAATATCATGTTCAGATTGCTGCTGAGGCCATCAAATAGCACCCCATTTTTAAACGATTTCCCTACCGAGGGAAGGGGAGACACACCCCTCCCTCCACCCCACCCCTCCTTCGCGCCTGCGACAATTAGATTTTCTAATTCAAAATAAATCTCACTCATTTTTAAAGCTACCCCTTGAGAGCCCTGAAATCTACTCAAATATCTTGTCATAATATAACTTTATGTTCGCCTCAACTCGATACACGAATTCAGAGACATAGAGTGCAATCAGGGGTTGAGACTCACTTCAGTGGTGACCGTTTCATCATACAGCTTGTGTTCGTATCGCCATCCGCGCGTGCAAGGGACCTTGGGCCACGACACGTTGGCCACCCACGTCACATTCTCCCTCACCAACTGCACGTAGTCTATGTCGTACATGTTGCACTGGCTTGGCACCAGTTCTCCCAGTTGCTCCTCATAGGGAAGACTGAGGTTTTTCTGCGCCTCGAGAGGGAAGCCTGCCAACTCCGGCACATGGCACCAGTGAGGAGGGATGGCGTTCATGAACACCTGAACGAATCCATGGAATGCGCATGGAAGTGCTGCTGGAACGCAGATCAACCAGAACAGCAGCTTCTGGTATTTGCCCCACCCGCCTATGTGTGGTAAAACGTCGTCAAAGTCCAGTGTCATCTTGGTAGTTGCATACGGACGATAATCGGACTGATCAGTTGACTCAGGCTCTACCAAATTCCAGTGAATGATGTGCGTGTGTAGTACTTAGTTCCATGTTTCATGCACTCATCAGTTGCTCTAAACTAAGACAAGTGCATTCGACATTACCAACACGAATAACAATTACGCAGTGGCTACATGTCCGGAACCGGTCGCCTAGCCTCCAGGCTACGCATCCGGACATCCACTCACACAGTAATCGCGCGACTCGCGTACACACATGATTGTGCAACAGGACGCTCTGCTGATTGCCAAAAATATACAATATATGCACTGCTGCCATCTATACTTTCATCCGTCCTCTCGCTCTCTCTCTCTCTTTCACACACACACGCACAGCTCTCTCTCTCTCTCTTTCACACACACACGCACAGCTCTCTCTCTCTCTCTCTCACACACCTCTAGCTCTCTTTCTTTCTCACACACACCTCTAGCTCTCTTTCTTTCTCACACACACCTCTAGCTCTTTAGCTCTTTTTCTCTCACACACACACACACACACACACACATACACATTCCCTCTCTCTCTCTCACGCACACACACAAACACTCGGCAATCAACAGCGCATCCCATTGCGCAATCATGCGTGTACGTGTCGCAAGATCACTGTGTGAGATAGATGTCCGGACGCGTAGCCTAACGGCTCCTCGTCCGAGACCGGTCGCGTAGCCACGGCCTAACAATTAACATTATGATCTTCTCTTACGTAATTTAAATTCACTTTTGAAATTTAGTATTAACACTTTTGATGCATTTTGTGTGCTTTTTGCATGTAATTGCATGCCTTCTGAAATTCCTGAGGAGGATTCATATTATTATATTATTATATCACAAGTAGATAATAGCGAAGTGATATATATTGACCACTGTTAACAGTAACACTAACAGTAACACTAACAGTAACACTAACAGTAACACTAACAGTAACACTAACAGTAACACTAACAGTAACACTAACAGTAACACTAACACGTAACAGTACTAACAGGGCACAAAATGACAAATCACCTTCGGTATCACAAAAGTAGAAGTAGAAGTAAAAATAGAAAGTACTTTAGACTAGTTCAAGTAGAAGTGACAGTGTCAAGTGATGCACTAAAAATGCGGCTACTGATGCAGACTTTACGAGATGATGCGTGTGTGCTGTAGCTGCATGTGGAGACTTGTTCTTGTTGCCAGTGATATAACCAGATGTTTACCTGCCCACATAGCTATCAGAGCTTAGAGCCAGAAGTAGATCATAAGTAGATCTTAAAAAAAGTAGATTAGTAGCTTGCTCTGTTGTATCAGAGCATATAAATCAACAATAAATCAGCAATAAATAAGTTGATTTATATCAAAGATACTAGAGTGCCAAAGGTCTAGTATCTTTGATA